CAACCTGTAGAGCACATCAATGAATCATATTACAATGCCTTGAACTCACAGCTTTTTTATCTTTCACTTACAAGAAATTGTCAGGCTTTATTATTTTGCATTTTCTGTTTTCCTTTAATATAACTTGACAATAAATTGAGCATCAATTAGTGTGCATTTTAGAGGTTTCATCTATTTGTAAGGTATCTGATTCCTTTCAAATACATCAGAATATCTATGGAACATGGCCTTCCTTTCACTGTTGGTGTTTATAGATGGCTTAAAGCAGAGATGCTCTCATCTCCACTGGGCTGGCTGGAGTTTACCACAAATGCAAATAGAATGAATGGTAGGATGTGCTTCTGGATGAGCTCCAGAATGACAGAAATGGGCTTTTCCATTCCTGAAGTAACCCCTGGTTCTTCAAATCACCTTAGCCAGTTTTTAACGTTTTTTGTTCCTCTTTTCCCATCCCCAGAGAGCTACATTTGACTGAGCTGTCTGGAGCTTTCTGAAGTTTCATGACCTAACAGGAACAGAATGCCATTTTACATCTTTTCCTCCTAGTTACCACTAAAAGCAGTTCCCTGGTCTAGATCATGGCAGGAATTTCAGGGACAGCTGCGCTGGCACCAGAGAAGAGGCAACAGATCAGCGCGACACAAAGCAGGGCCCGCGCAGAGCGGGAAGAAGGTCCCAAGCAGTATCAAGAATTCATTTTCGATACAAAAAAGTTTTCAAAGCCAGTTACAATCCCAGAGAGGGCTCAACACTCCTGGGGAGAGAAGAGGCTGGTTGGCCCAGCCTATGGGTGGCTTGTAGTTTCTCAGAGTCATGGTTTCTGAGCAGACAGTACAGAGAAAGATTAAAGGCAACTTTGAAAAGAAAAGAGCATGGGAGCTGAGTTTAAAGGGAGAATTAACTGGGTGCTGCAGGAGAGGGTGGGGTCACAATTGCATCATGAGGCAATTTCAGCCCAGTCTGAAGGGAAGGGTGAGAACCCAGCGCTGCCCACTTGAAGCAATGACAGATGGCAGCCTCTTCCTGCAGCCCTTGAATTGGGATGGGGAAGGGTGGGGCAGAAAGGAGGGAAGGGTGCAGTTTCCAGAGGCTGCTGAGTAGGCAGAATACTGAGCAAGGTGAGTCATGAGGTGCAGGCAGCAGGAATTTCCTGCACTGCTTAAGAGGTGCATGGGGAGGCAGGGGTTGGAGAAGGGAGCTCAGGGAGCAAATGCTGGGCTTTACAGAATCTCTCCTGGTACCCTAGCAAGTGTAAGACTGGATGGCACCTTTCCTGTACCTCAGGCCTATTTAATTTTTCTTCTCTCTTTATAGGCCTTTCTTGCTGTTTTGAAGTGTTTTTCTTGCATACTCTATGACATAGTACTATAATGCTGATCAAAGTTAGGGAAAAAAACCTCAAGAAACCTGCCTTACATACATCTTCTGGTGATCTCACCTAAGTGTCCTTCAAGAAAACCCCACAAAACAGCAAAATTGCTGTGAATCAAGAAAAGAAGAAACTACTTCTCTGGAGTGTGCTTGTTACTGATCCCGCTGTCAGTGTGAATGCCCTGCATCCTGGTGCTCCTGAGGTAAGAGAATAAAATCTTCATTTCTTCTCCCTGCTTTGCTGTGTCTACAAGTTGTTTGTTCTTGAACTAATGGTCCTGCTTGGAATCTTTTGCCTGCGAACAAGCTTCTCCTGGTTTATCTGCCGGCTTTTAAGAATGTATTTTATTATTTTGTACTTTGTTGATTCCTCAAATGTCAGACACAAATGTCTGAGCTTTAAAGCACCGTTGTAAGGTGATCATACCAAGCTAGACTGAGCACATCAGACCCTTTGTGTGAACGACAGTGTAACATCCACCCAAGTGAATGATGTGTTTTTTTCTCTAAAGGATTTCCTAACAGGAGTCTCCTCCTTTGAGCTTTTATCACAGCATTCAAATGTAAATGATTTAGCTGCTTTTGCAAGTTGTGGAATCACCTGTTCTCTGACAGATCTCTTTCAAGAGGTTTGAAAAGTCAAAAAACCTTGGGGAAAAAAATTAAAAAAAAAGAAATCTAGCATCGGTAAGCTGTGTGGGTTTGTACCGAGAAAGCTCAGTGAGCAATAATCACTGCTGCTTGCACTTGATTAGGACTTTATTGCAGCACTCAAGAGACGACCTGGACGCAGAATTTTGTGTGTTTGAAAACCTGAGAGCAGGATACTGAGAGATTACCACGGAGTTTTTCTTTGATGCCTGCCTGCTGCAGCAGTGACCCCGTTGGTACTGAGCGCTTGCTTAAACGCCAAGTGATTTCCATCAGGCAATAGAAATGTCCCAAGGTTTCCTTCCCTGAGCCTCTTTGAATACACAAATTACCTAACGAGCTGGCGTCCGTACCGCCCTGCTTAGGAGAGCGGAAAGTGGGAGGTCGAATCACCCTGCTCGGTTTCAGTGCCACAGCACCTCAGGAAACCCAGAGACCTGGGAGGGAAAAAAATAAAATAAAAAAAAAGACATTGATTGCCTTGAGCACACAGCGCAGCCGATCAGGACGATTGACATTAGGGTACATAGAGTTGTGATGACTTTTCTCCCCTTTATCTCATATTCATCGTTTGTGAAAGGCGTCTTTTACGAAGTCCTTCATATATTTTTGGTTTCTCATGACTTGATACCTCCCTGATTCTGTCCCTTGCTGCAGCACAGAACTGCAGAAGGGCATCAGTGGGTACTAGAGACATAGGAATTATTTCAGCTACTGCCGTTTGTGGGCTGAATGAAAGGCTGGGGTGTTTTTGAAACGTCACGCTCCGTGTTTGATTAGACCAGTGACTGCAACACCCACTGCAGCCCCACGCCTGAGCAAAGCACAGCACACACTGTTACCCGGAGGAAAGGCAGAACAGGGTACAGAAACTCAGGGTTTGGCTGTTTTGCTGCAGTTAAGAGACCCGCAATACACATCTTGCACAGATGAGAAACAGCATTGCAACTGTTGCTTTTGTCTTCCCCCCCCCCCCCCGTTGTTTGTTTTTTTTTTTTAAACATTCTTAGTATTTCCACTTTCTAGCTGAGTTTGGCTTCTAGAAATCGGAGGAATTATCATCAATTTTTCATTGTGGTAGGTTTCCAAAATTTGCTTATGCTCCTCTGCAGGCAAAATATGTTCTTGGTTTGTTTTCAAAGATTAATCCAGTGTTGAGTCCCCAGCCCCCTGTTGCTGTTTTAGTGCTGTGCCTCTCTCTTTTGGCTGCTACACCACAGCTTGTTCTTGTTGCTGCTCACAGCTACATCTGTTGATGGGCTGGGAGCCATCTCCAGCTATGCAAATGCAGGTCTTCGGAGCACCTTCTCCAGATTTTAATCCTACGCAGTTACCTTCTCCTGGAATCCAGGATCTCTGTGGCCATGCCAGGTGTGCCTGCTGTAACTTGAGTTGGTGATTTTCCTCATGTGCAGAAGGCACAATGCTTTTTCTGGACTGAGCTGTGGTTCTGTGTTTGTTTTTAAACTCAACGACCACGGCTTCGTGATTTTTGTGTTAAATGTGGCAAGCTCTGTAAGCATTGGGTAAAGACTGACAGATGCAGGATATTTAAAATTCACATGGAACAGCATTTTATTACCTTTGGCTTATTTACCTGTGATCGAAAAGGTATTGGTATGAGAGATTCTCATCTCTCCAATAACTTGTCAAACTACCTGATTATATCTCTGTGTTCAGATTCTACCTTTCTGCTCTACTGCCAATCCCCATCCTATGTACTTTATAGTAAACTTGATCCCATTTTACATGATCATTAAATGACCTTAATTTTCAAACTCTGTTCTGAAGCCTTCCATGTGATTAACACTCATCCTGCTGAGACTTCCCCTTTCCCCTTTTATACATCCATAGGTTTAGATTGGGTATTAGGGAGAAATTCTGCTGTGTGAGGGTGGTGAGGTTCTAGCAGAGGTTGCCCAGAGAAGCCCCATCCCTGGAAGTGTCCAAGGTGAGGTTGGAAGGGGCTCTGAACAACCTGGTCTGGTGGAAGGTGTCCCTGCCCAGGGCAGGGCTTTGGAATGAGCCGGTGAGGGACCCGCAGTGCCCGGTGCCACCGGAGCCCGTGAGGGACCCGCAGTGCCCGTGAGGGACCCATGGAGCCCGTGAGGGAACCGCGGTGCCCGTGAGGGAGCCGCAGTGCCCGTGAGGGAGCCGCAGTGCCCGTGAGGGGACTCGCGGTGCCCGTGAGGGGACCGGCAGCTCCCGGTGCCACCGGAGCCCGTGAGGGGTCCCGTAGTGCCCGTGAGGGACCCGCGGTGCCCGTGAGGGACCCGCAGTGCCCGGTGCCACCGGAGCCCGTGAGGGGTCCCGCAGTGCCCGTGAGGGACCCATGGAGCCCGTGAGGGACCCGCAGTGCCCGGTGCCACCGGAGCGCTGCCGGCCCCGCCCTCCGCCGGGGCCACCCTGCTCCGGCTCCGCTCCTTCTGCAGCGCCAGCCGGGAATGTCCCTGCCCCGCTCCTTCTGCAGCGCCAGCCGGGAATGTCCCTGCCCGGCTCTGGGGCGCTGCTGCTAGCGCCGGGATTTGTCCCGGAGCGAGGCGGGGCAACCGGGAGCGCTTCGTTCCCGGCTCCCGGCGCGTCCCGCGGCATTCCCCCGCTGTCCATGGAGCCGGGGGCTGGGATCACGCCATTCCAGCAGGTCGCCGGGATGCCCGGGGGATTCGAACGGGATTCCCGGCAGACTCCAGCGGGGATCCCTGGGGGATTCACGCTGGCATCCCCGGCAGACTCCAGCCGGGATCCCGCAGCTCGCCCGCCGCCGCTCCGCCCTCCCCGCGTTGTTTGTCCCCCGGCGCGCTCCGTAGCGCGTGCGGCGGCGGCGGCACGAGCCGGGCCCCGCCCCTCCCCGGCGGTGCGGGTGCGCGAGGAGGCGAAGGGAGGAGGGGGGGAGCGGCGGCGGGAGCGCGCACGGGGCCGCGCGGGAGCGCGCACGGGGCCGCGCGCGCACGCCCCCGCCGCGCGCACGCCCGCGGCCGGCCCCGCGCGCGCGGCAGCGACTCGCAGGCGCCATGGCGGCCGCTCGCTGCAGCGACATGGCGGAGCCCCAGCGGCGCCTTCCCGGGCAGGCGGCGCCCGCCGAGGAAGAGGAGGAGGCGGAGGTGGCGGCGGCGGCGGAGGTGGAGGCGGCGGCCGCCGGTGGGGCTGGATCCTCCTCGTCGTCGCCGCCGCCGGCACCGCCTTCGGCCGCGGCGGAGCCGGAGCCGCTGCTGCTGCTGAACGGCGAGGCGGAGAGCATGTCGGAGCCCAGCCCGGAGAGCGCCAGCCAGGCCGGGGACGGGGAGGACGAGGACGAGGAGGAGGAAGAGGAGGAGGAGGAGGAGGGCGGTGAGGAGGAGGAGAGCAGCCTGGTGGGCAGCAGCAGCAGCACGAGCAGCGGCTGCTGCAGCGACGAGACCCGCTCGCCGAGCCCCGGCGGCGGCAGCGAGGCCGACGCTAAGGAGGAGCCCAAGGGCCCCCGGGGCAGCCAGGAGGACGGGCCGGGCCGCGGCGGCGGCGGGGGCGGCAGCAGCTCCAGCAGCGTGTCCAGCGGCGGCGACGAGGGATACGGCACCGGCCCCGGCACGGGCGGCGGCAGCAGCTGCGGCAGCGCCACGTCGGGGGGCCGGCGGGGCAGCCTGGAGATGTCCTCGGACGGGGAGCCCCTCAGCCGCATGGACTCGGAGGACAGGTCAGTGTCCGGCCGCGTCCCCGCCTCGGCAGCCCCCGCTGCCCGGGCGCCGCCCCGCTCCCGGCCGCGGGGCTGTCACGGCAGCCACAGGTTTCTCCGGCCAACTTGTGCCGGACCCCCGCCCCTGCTCCTCGGGCCCCCCGAGGCTGCCCGGCCCTGGCCGCGGAGGAGGGGCCGCTCCCGGCCGTCGCCGCCGGTCCCTGAGAGCCCCGAGCGGCCCCGCCGGGCGCTGCCTCCTCCTCGGCTTCCTCCGGGGCCTCTCGGCTCGGAAGCTGCGGATTTTTCTCAGATAGTGCTTTCGGGGTTCTTCAAGGCTGTGTCTTGCGGCAGCGCGCAGGTGGGGTGTACTGGAGCTTCGGGATGGGAAATGCATCTCTGGATGCGGTTTTACCTGCGCCCGCAGCAGGGTCTCTGCTCTAGAGGGAGAAAACCGAGCGATGAAAGCCTCTTAAAACATAAGGGGAAAAAAACCCCACCGAGTTTACTCGGGAGACCAGCCTTTCCTGCATTACGTGTGCGCAGTAATAATCATGCACGGTGTGAAGTGAGGTTCAGTATTTGGAGGCTCAGAGTCATCTTTGAATGAGTTCTGTAATTGTGAATTTCAGAATCTGGAAGGATGAGTTCTTAAGCTGTTGTACGTTAAAGCTGCACATTTCATTTTACCAAGATTCTCGCTGGGTTCTGGTGAAAAGCCACAAACGAATTCTCACACATGGTTGAATTCGACCATTCAGATCTGTTTCAGCCTACTGAGTCAAGCATTTCAAAGAACATGGCTTATGTAGTAGCTCTCCTCGATGTTGGATGCAACAGTTTACTTGAAAAACTGAAAATATGATGGAAAAAGGGTATAAAAACAGTGTGAAAGTGCTGTGTGCCCCTTGCTAATTAGTCCTTTCAAATAGTTTAAGAAACTTGCACAATTTTTCCATATGTTTAGCAGAAAAAGTACCAGATTTCCCTGCTAGAGTTGCAGTTAAGTAACAATTAGAATTTTATTTGTATTTTCTTAAGATAGTTTTGCTGTTAAGTTTGGAGAATTACGTGGTTTGGTCCAGAAATGGACTTTGGATATATGTTAGATCAAAATCTTTGTAACTATACAAGTACCCGTATTTCAGCATGACTAGACCTAACCTCGAAGATTAAAACCAGCCCAGCAAACTCCTCGTGAGTCAGTTCCCCAAAACCATGTAATTGGCCTAAAAATTTTAAGAAGACAGAAAAAAATTCAGGTCTTTGGTTTCCATCAGACTTTTGAGACTCATAGAAATCACGTTTTCTTTCTTCTTAACTTACGCGAGTGGAAGGGAGGTGTGGATGTTGGGGGTTGTTTGTAGGTTTTGTTTGTTTTCTGTTTTTTTTCAGAAGCTGAGATTTTATGTGCAGTTGACTAAGTATGGGTGTAGATTTCTCGAAAAACACCAGGTGCATAAAGGAGCACTAAGATAACAGTTTCTTATTTTTCACAGAGTGGAAGTCCAAATCTAATCCTGATTTTATCCAAGTACGTGTCAGGGTTGAGGAAATAAAAGAAGTAACTTGCAGGGGTTTTCTGGAAGTAGCGTCATTATGCCTTGCCCTGTGCCCTCCAGAGCTGGTTGCTACTTTCTTTCTCTGTCATTGTTCTCGTGGTCCTCTTGCTGTACGTGGTTAAATCCACGTGTGTGGGTTCTTGCTCCTTCCCTTTACCACCAGGAGTGGGACTCTTTGTTTTTAGTGGTTTAAATAAGGACTGTGCCTTGTTTTCAATCTTTGCAAAGTTTTATCTTGTCCTGACAGGGTGAAAACTTGGGGTGTTGAGAGTGCATTTTGTACTGTAATTCCAAGGCCTGAAAGCAATGCTACCAAGAGTGCCATTTGTTATTCCTGGGGTTGGAAAATTTCGTTTGGTGTGCACTTCTTGCTGCAGCATGTTAGAATGCTTTATTATTTTTGTCACATGTAGTCCAGCAAGTTGCTCGCTTGATACTGTGGTCCAAATGATTGCTGCTGCTTGGAAGGCAGCCACAGCAAAATCCTGTGCCTTTCAGATGATCACACAGACAAGCAGAGTGTTACAAAAGGTAGGAGAGGTGCTGAAGAGTTAGAGTGTGTAAATTGGAATATTGAAACACCAAGGAAGAGCTGGAAACTGTTCAGACTTAATATATTGAAATCCTGAAAGAATAAATTTGCTGTTTTGGTCACCTCTGAATTAAAATGTAAGTTCTGTGACTATTAGAAAACCATATTTTGTCTATTAAGTGTTGTTTTATATGGGGTAGTTTATTAAGTACAGTACTTCATGACCTTTGCTGACTCCCTGTGTCTCCAAAGTCGTGAGGAGCTTGGTGTCTGACTCCGTGTGTTGTAAAGTAAGATTCCCTGGGGAGGGAGTAGAGAGAAAAGGGAAGAGATGGAACTAACAGCCTTTTCAGACCCTGTGTCTAGCCAGAGGAAGCTGGTAGGAGAGTGTGCTGGGTAAAGACTCTCCTGCTGTCAGCAGGTTTGGTAACATTGAGATCATGCCCCTGGGCTTGGGATTTTTTTTTCTTGCTTCCTTTTTAGAAAATTTGAATGAATTAAAGGGTGTGGTAAGAGGGCCTGAATTCCTTGAGTGATCAAATTCCCATTTCCTTGTGCATGTTCTTTATCGTTCTCCACTGTGTGTTATCTCTCATTTTTCCTTTAGTGATACCAAATACAAATGGAGCAGATGAAGAGGAAAATCTTGCATGTGGTCAAAATAAAGCTAGTGTGCAGCAACTTCTACTTTTAAAATTTTATTGTGTTTTGAGAGTATCTGCTGACAGAAAAAATAATTTATAGGAAATTAGTCAATATTTATAATACATATTTATGATTTTTATAAATATTTATAATACGATAAATAAATAGAGAGGTGACTATTGATGCCCTGAAATTTAGGGTGAATTTTAACTCTCCATTTCCATTCCTGCAGATAGACTTTGTACTTTGTTACAGGATGCTTCTCTTCCCTCCCAAAAAACCCAGAAAGGAAAAGGCAAAGCCCAGACTGACACTTAGGATAAATAACCGAGGTGGCATTTTCGGCTCAGCAGGAGAGTTCAGTGCAGTAACTCTAGGACTGGCAGGTATCTCGTTGATCTGTAGTAGTTGTGTTTTTTTCCCTGGGAATTGTGCTAAGTTCCCACTGCTGTGCAGGAGTTTGTCTGTGAGTTTTGTGAGCAAGCTCAGATCAGCTGGCTGAGTAATAATAGTCTGCATTCAAGCAGAGTGATCCTCTGGATTTACAGTTGGAACAAAGACTATTATCAGCACGTGAATGCTGCTCATTTTCTTGTGCTTTTCCCTAACTTGAGACCTCTGCTGAAAGGATGGATGTGTTCCTCCAGAGCCCTCTGGAGCTGTTAGTCTTGCTGCAATGCTCAGAAACATTTGACAGGACTTGAAAAGAAAAAAAAAAAAAAAAAATGGTTCAGTTAACTATAAACACAGAAGCTGGACCTAAGCAAATGCATGGATTTGGGTATAAACCAGCTGAGCTGAGTGTGGTGGAGATGCATCTGCAGCTCCCTAATGTTGTTATTGCTGAATTATGATATTTTCTTACAAACACTTAGTTTACTGAAAAAATTTAAATATTGTTTACTGGAACAGTTATTATGGAAATATATTTACATCTGAAATAGTTTCATCATGAAATTTTGTTTGATTTAGAAAGCAGCGGTACGTCTTGCAGTTTGAAGTTGTTGAGCAGAAATTCAAGTAGTAAATCTGTATGAAGAGCTTTTTTTGTTCACTCTTGTGAATTTATCTTATGCCATCGTATTGTCACCTAGAAGTTACCCCTGTTTTACTAGTCTTACATTATCTTTACCCCTCTTAGCAGTTTATCCTTTGCTCCCTCCTCCTCCTGGCTGGGCAGGGAGCATGGAAAAGGTGCATTTAAGCTGCAGGATCAGCTGTTCTGCTGTGTGATCTGTGAGTGCTGATTGATATGCTACCAGGCCAAGTCTAACAGGTTGTCTTTGGATCTATGCAGTAATCTTTCCCTTAGGCACAGCATTACATAACGTCCATCTTACTCACAGGCAATTTTCATGACACTTGTAAGGCTTTTTTTGTTTGTTTGTTTGTTTTTTTGGTGTTTTTTTTTGGGGGGGGAGAATAACATTTTCCTGTTTTTTGTTATTCACCAACCAGTCAGTTATTGAGACGCCCCAACTCAAGGAGTACTCATTAATACTCAATGACAGTTTGTGTTCTAACCCACATAAGATTTGTAGAATACTTCTAGAAATATTATTATTCTGTTCCTGTTTAATAGATGAGCAGTTTTGAAAACACGTTTCAGATAAATTTTTCAGTAGTAAACTTTTTTGTGCTTCAGATTGTGATGTTTTAGCATTTTACTGAATGAAATGGCAGTGTGGAACTAATGGGTTCCACATAAAGATAAGATAAGAAAGATAAGAGGTTTAGACATCAAAATTCCAGGCTCTAGTCTGACTTTTTTTAACTCTCATGTAAAATGAAGGCCTTGTCAATCTTTAAGATGTATGCTGATTTAAAAATATTAGTTTTAATTCTAGTCTTTATTTTGTCTATCTTTTAAAATCTTAAAAGTGAAGAACTTTCAAGATTGACTTGGCAGTGGCACGCAAGTTGTATGAGTGACATTTATGAAGGCAGAACAGTAAATTTGAAATATAATCTGGAGGACATGTGGTACTAATAGGTGTGTTTCATGGATCCATGTGACCAGATTAAAAAGTGCTTCAGGCCTCTCTTTGCTGCATAGCCTCACTTGTTCCTATGCAGGAAGTGAAGAATCATTCATTAGCACTTATGGCAGGGTGGTTAAGTCGTTAAATTTTTTTTTCAAGTATGTGTAATATTGCTATGTCACAGTGAGCTATACAGAAGTTTACCCAAGTTTCAGAAATTCTGCTGAAAATTGTATTTGCAGTATTTCTAACTGCATTTATTGTTGCTGTAGTTATTTGCTTTCAAATTGCAAAATAAACCCC